AGAAGAAGATAGAGAGAAAAAGGAAAGAAGAGAGATGGAGAGAATACAGAGAGAAGAGAGAAAAAGATGGGAAGAGGAAAGGGAAGAAATGAAAGAAAAGTTAATGAAGCTGGAGGAAAAAAGAGAGAGAAGAGAAAAAAGAGAGGACTATGTAAAGAGGGAAAAGGAGAATGTGGAGGAGGGTGAAGAGGAAAGGAAGAGTGGTGAGTAGCTAGTAGAAAAAGAGAGATAGAGGGGAGTTGGGAAAGGAAGGAAAGAAAGAGGGGCATAAAAGGGGAAAGGGATGTATGAGAGCAGGTGAAGAAACTAATAAAAGAGATGAAGGTGGTGGAGATGGAGATAGAGAGCATAGGAAGAGTAGGATGGGGAAAGGAAGAGGAAGAAAGGATGGCTGTAACGAAGAAATGGAAAAATAGAACAAAGAGGAAGCTAATGGAGGGGAGAAATTGCTGAAGCGGAGGAGGGTGGAGGATAAAAGATGACCTCGCATGAAAAAAGGGGGAAATGCAGTGGAACATGGGGAGGACAAAAAGGATAGAAAAGGAGAGAGAGAGAGAGAGAGAGAGAGAGAGAGAGAGAGAGAGAGAGAGGAGGGTATGGGTAAGATATGGAAGAATACTGTGCGACCGGATTTCGATGTTCGGCTTTTCTGAACCGGCGCAAAACCGAAGGGCGAACCCGTAACGCGAAACGGTATCCGGGCCTCTGAAAGCCTCTTGTCCGTATGGGTGGCAGGTGCGCGCAAGTCGCACCCACTAAAAAATGACTTCCGCGGTCGGCGAAGCTGTCCGCGTGTCGGCCCTGCGACCCGAGTTTGTCCCGATTGGGACCGGCAGCTCCGGAGTGATTTGATTCGGAGGCGTGGTGGTTCTGACATTCACGCCGGGAATCGCTGACCAACAGAAAAGGGAATAAAGTAAAAAAAAAAAAACAGCGGCTTCGGTAAGCTTGCATGCCTTTATTCAGTCTTCGCGACAACCAGGCGATACAAGGCGCTCTGGCTTAGCACCTTACGATATAAAATTTACTTTTATGCTTACGATAATTTACTTTCACTCTCACGATTACCGAAACTCGGCGGACACGGGAGGTCCGCTGATAGTGGCCGACCTTTCCAACGGCCGCCGAGCCAAGGTGGAGAATACTTTGCACGCTGCACCCGCGGGGCAGTTTTCTCCGCGGCGCTCTACGACATACCTGTAACACTAAAAAAAATGCGATTAGGCGGCCTTACAAAAGCGGGCTCCCTGGGCGGCTGGTCCTGGTACATCCTCGTCCGGAAGATGCATCTCCTTCTAGCTCTCGCTCTTGTTTGACCGTGCCCGGCTCTCCTACTCACTCGCTCTCTCTCCGTCTCTCATTTTTCCTTAGCCGTGTCCGGCTCTCCCTCTCGCTCGCTCTCTCTCGCTCACACGCACTCGTGCCCTTGCCGACAATCTTTCTCCCTCGTCTCGCCAATCGCAGCTCCGGAAAAACTCTCACAAACGTCGATAATTTCGCGAGAGCCAAAAAATCTCCCGTGTGCCAAAGACTCTTCTTCTCACGTCAGCCAATAATGGCTTCCACCGGCTGATAATTTTAAGCAGCCTTTCCCTTCTTTCACAGCCCAGGAGTCCGCCCCTCTTTGGCAGTTGGGTCCTTGCTGGCGGTTACCGGTTTGTCTCAGATCCGTCGCCTCTTCTCCGTGCTTGATTCGCCCTTTTGCACGATATAGGTCCGCCGGTTTCACTGCCGCAGAGGGGACAGAACACGACCTCCTCGGCAGTACCGGTAGCGGCTCGCCGATAGTCGCCAAGAGAGTTTAGTATTTGTTTTGACACGCGTAGCGTGCCAGGGCATGCGATCTCAGCCTTTAGGCTATACGAGATCTGTTCAAAAAATATCGCGAATTTTGAATTTCCGCGGGTTACGTATATTCGATTTTCGAATTTTTGTGGCGTTATGTTGGTACTCATGTCTCTCATTTATGCCGACAAGTTCGGCCATTTTGAATATTCAGTTGATCTTTGACAGCTGTTTTGCTTGGACGTGTTTTGGCTTGTCTTCGATTTTTGCCTATTCCAAAAAATGGATCAAAGAATCTGTATCAAATTTTGTGTGAAAAACAAAATTAAGTGCGCGGACGCATTCCGAATGTTGACTGTGGCATATGGTGAAGCTACCTTGGACCGAAGCAACGTTTATCAGTGGTACAAAAGTTCTTAGAGGACCGAGAAGATGTGAACGACGAAAAGCGTGCCGGACGCCCGAGCACGTCAAAAACAGACGAAAACATTGATGAAGTGAAGAAAATAGTATTGGCCAATCGTCGAATCACCGTTAGAGAAGTTGCTGAGGACCTAAACATATCGATTGGCTCGTGCCATTCGATTTTTACTAATGATTTGGGCATGAGACGGGTCGCCGCGAAATTCGTACCAACGCCTCTGCTTACACATCGTTGCTTGTGCGCGAATTTTTGACCAAAAGCAACACACTAATGATGCCGCAGCTACCGTATTCCCTAGACCTGGTCCCCTGTGATTTTTTCTTGTTCCCGATACTGAAGAGGCACATGAAAGGACGACGCTACGCTACGATTGAGAAGATAAAGACGGCATCGAAGGAGGAGCTGAACAAGATCACAAAAAATGATTTTTTTTAAGTGCTTCGAGGATTGGAAAAAACGTTGGCACAAGTGTATAATAGTGTATAATATCTGAAAGGGATTACTTTGAAGGGGACAAAATAGATATTTATGAATAAATAAATAATTTTTGAAAAAACACCAAATTCACGATACTTTTTGAACAGACCTCGTACGCTACCAAACATCTTTTCCAACTTCCCAGCTTTGGCAACAACTGACAAGAAAGCGGGCGATGGATAAATCTAGCAGCGCCTGCGGGCGTACTTCGCAGGATAGGCAGTTTGGCCGTGACCGTACGCGCTTCCTAACCCTCCAACCGCGCTCGGGATGTACGATAAAGCGCTATTCCCCATGCGGCCTGCGCACGTGCCACGCCCACAGGGACCACGGGGACCAAGAGAGGCCTGCTCATTTGTGTCACAATCCTGGACACACGCTCTGACCGTACTGACTCTATTGATACTTTGGTCATATAATAGGATTAGGTGTTCTAAACAAAATAAAACATGACTGTATGCAAGGATACAAGATCCTGCTCGCTAGCCATTGGATAACGGGTGGGACCCTGTCTAGTTGGAAGCTATACCCTACCTAGGAACCCATCTAAGAGCGCTTAACAATCCGGGCGTGTGATGATCTCGCGAAGTTTGCGAGGCCACAACCACAAAACCGAGGTCTCCGGCGTACATCGGCCTAGTTGTGGCAGAAATCTACCAACGATCTTCGATTATTCAAAGGCTCTCCTTGCAGAAGTCGGCGAAGAACGAGAAATCTTTTGGAGACGACAGCAAAAAGGGTGCTGCCGCCAGCCCTTCCCAGGCCCCGACCGGAACGAATTCCCGCAGAGCCTCTATTTGCGGTTCGAAGAGCTGGCAATGGACGAAGTGATGTGCCGCAGTGTCCTCGACGTCCCCGAAAGCACACATCCCACCGTCTACAAGTTCCACATCCGCGAGGCGTTTCTGGAAGTTGCCATGTCCAGTGATCATTTGCGTGACCTAGTGGTCGGGTTTGAACCAGGATGCATCAACCCTAGGCCCGACATCGCCGAAGGAGGCACGTGTGAATTGACCTTTGACAGAAGAAGACCATCTGTCCTGCAACATCTTTGTTGCCGCAACCTTCATGAGGCCTAGCGCCTACTTTTGGTTACCTGCGTAAGGAACAATGCTATATCCTACCTTGACATCACTCTCTTTTCTAACTTTGAATTGCGCATAGGATTCCGCGAAAAGGGTGTCGATGGGAATTGTGCCCGTAGCCACACAAAGCGACTCAGTCGATGCCGTGCGATATGCGGCGGTCACCGAGACGGGCACTCGGCGCTGAAGCGACCTGAAGATTCTCAGGTCGGTTCACTCGGCGACAGCATATGCCACCGTCGGTGCGAACACGCCCCGGTATATAGCCGTGAACGCCCCATAAACATCCCGCCCGCCTACCTAGTTTACTAAAAAGCGAACCGACTTTTTCGCTGAGATATTTGCAATGGGTGGATATACTCTTCCCTCTATCTATGTGGACGCCAAGGTACTTAATTGATTTCTTAATATCAATATTATTATTTCCTAATCGGATGGTCGGTGGCCTACTCGCGCAGTCAGCCTTTTTGGCCCTGACCGCTTTTCCTTTTCGATCGGGACATGCTCCTCCATGTCTGCCTATTCGGGCCCTTTTGACAAGGTCGCTCTTGAGGACAATTGCCTCAGACTTTCGCAACGAAAGTTCTAATTTGGCAAAGCTACACAATTTCCCTATTTCGTCGAATATTTCCTGTGCATTTAGTTCTATTTTTTTGCGGGAATCATCGCTGACTAATACGAGAAGATCATCCGCGTACGTTAAGAATTTATCCAATACTCTAGCTTCCAGAGCCCTGAGGAGTCCGTCAAACATGACGTACCAGCAAGTTGGACCTAACACCGAGCCTTGTGGGCAACGTCTGGTGGCCTTCTTTGAGACCATTATATCTCCGAAGTAGAGAGAGTTTATCCTGTAACGGAAATAGTCAGCTAGCACTTCAAAGACGTTTAGAGGTTCCTATCCCTGAATCCTGAAAATACGAGGGGCCACCAGACGTTGCTAAACTCGCCCGAAATGTCGAAGAGCAGCGCAATGACGTATTTCTGTTCAGAGTCAGAGACCATTTGTCGCAGTTCCACCACAGCGTCCTCCGTCGACTTTCCGGGTGTGAAGCCGAACTGCCGATCGGAGATCTTCCCCGGCGTGAGTGACGTCTGGTTGAGTCTCTTCAGAAGAAGCTTCTCGAAGAGTTTCCCTATTAAGGAGAGGAGGCAGATCGTCCAGTAGGATTTGGTCTCCTCCACGTCCTTACCCTTGCCTTTCACGAAGATTCTAAGCGAGCCGTCATTCAGATCGAGAAGAAGACGCCACACTGAAGGCACCCATTGAAAAGCCTAATGAACTGACCGGCGACAGCCTTGTAGGCGGCCTTCAGTACAGAGACCTTGATGAGATCCAGGCTTGGCGCCTTGTTGTTTGCCAGAGATCTGACTGCTGCTGCAATTTCTGCACCCGTGAATAGAGGGTCATTGGCAGTGTCAAGCACATGGTGTGCGCTATCTCTGACTTCGCGCTGCTGCAGCGTGTCTTCGTTCTCCCGGTCATCCGGCAACTGCACGACGAGCGGGTGAGCAGCGGTCTCCTCTAAAGTGGCGATCGAGGATTTTCCGCCACGGAGAATGCTCAGCACTTTGTCAACCCGGAGTTTATTAGCCTGATGCTTATAAACAAGTCCCCAGGGCTTCGGGTTGCCTTGCTCCGTGACAAATTTCCGCCAGGTTCCGAGTCTCGCCTTCCTCGCCTCCCTGGTGTACTCCCGCAAAGAAGAGCGGTAGACACGCAGTTTGGCGGAGCGGATCGGTTCAACACTTTCCTGCTAAAATGTCCGTCTGTTCTTATAGACGATTTTCTTTTTTATCGTTAGATTTTTCGTCCACCACGGGTTGGACTTCCTATATTGTCTTTTCCTTGGCATTGCCTTCTGACAGGCGTCCATAAAGGAGCCCGCAAAAGCATCCGCGAACTTCACCGCGTCCTCCGCCAACGTCAAACCAAGGATCTTAAATCTCGATACAGACAGATCGACGAGGCTCTCAACGAACTTCTCCCAGTCCTCCCGATTGGTGTCGAACCGAGTTTTCGTAGTTCGCTGCTCCCTGTCTCTGACTTTTTGCACCCTCAGTCTAATGTCCAGGGAATTGTGGTCACTGGTTGTCCAATCGCAATTTACCTTCCATTCGCCGACGAACTAGCTCATGGATGGGGACAACAGGGTCACGTCGATGTGCGACAATCCCCATGACGTCCAGTAGGTAAATGGCTGTCCGACAACATTAAGGACTTTGTATCCGCAAGCCCGGATAAAGTCCTGGAGCATCGCTCCTATATCGTCCAATTTACGATCACCCCGGAGAAGGGATTGCGCATTGGCATCCATTCCTACTAAAACTCTCTGCCCCCTCAGTGAACGAAGCACCTTTTCGAGGTTCCTGAGGTGTCCCTCTATCTCATCGCTAAACTGAAAACAGCACGATGCGACGTAGAAGGAAAAGCCGGGTGCTCGCAATTCCGCACATGCGCAGTGCGTCGTGTTGATCTGCGAGATAAGCATTATCTGGAATTCGGGATTACAAGCGACTACTGCGGCCCAAAGAAGTTGCGCGCACACAGCTGCCACCCTCATTTCAGTCCCTAGCCCGATGAAGGCGTACCCACTGCCCTGCTTCCGGACGTGGAGATCCTGCAAGAGCTAAATGTTGAGTCCCTTTTGGACAATGAGTTGACGAACCTCCCCTGTCGCAACAGCCGAACGCCTCATATTCAGCTGTAGCACCCTAATTCCCGTGAATATAAGCAACGCGGGCAGTGAAGTGCTCCTGGCCTCCAACAGAGGGACGGAAGAATCGACTATCTCTACTGAAGTTTGGGACGAGATCGCGATCGCGGCATCTACGTTCATCGCGGAACTGTTGACAGAGCCTATCCTGATTTGCCTCGCACGGTCCAGGATTGCCGGTGTGACCATCCTATCATATCTCTCTAGACTAACACTGACAGCACGAAGGCTGAGAACCTGAGACCGTGCACCGAATTGCTCTGAGCCGCGGATGTGCGCGGGCACGGTTGGTCGAGGCGCCCTCCTGGAAGCAAGAGCCTCAACCAAGCGCGCGACCGAGCGTGCACGCGACAGAGCATCAGAGGATCCCCCGCTTCCAAAGCTGCGGCCCTGTCTGGTCAAAAGCGTTCGGCCAGACGGACAATTCTCCTCAACACATCTTTGAAAAATTTACCCATAATAATTTGTATTTGGGGGTCGGAATGGAGGTCGAGCAACGCAGAGCCGCCTTACGTTGCCAAGCCTAGAGAACCCGTGGGGTCGGCAAGTACTCCGTGGTTATATCGTTAGCGACTGCGCATCTTTTTCGTCCTCGCAGCCATTCATATCCTCGGTATGATACTTGCACCTTGGTATTAGGACTGTAAAAGCAGGCCGGCCCGCGCTGAAAATAAAAGGGAGAACTCCGGTTCCGTCGTCGCTGCGAACAAAGTCACAGAGACGCAGGGCCCGGTAGTTTTAATTTAAGGGAAGCTCCCGCGTGCCTTCCACGCACCGCAGTGCGCAAAAGGAGAGCGGAAGTTATCTGTCCCGGGGATGAGGTTAGGGTGGTTGGAGTTTTTGGGTGAATAAGGTCTTTTTACCGCATTTGAACCAATTACGTGTTCGCGGTAGTGCTTGGGTGAGATGTGGGAGTAGTTTGCGGAGAGGAAATGTGGAGAGGAGTGGGGGTTTGTGCAAAGCAGTCGGGTGGCGCCATCTCAGCTCCAGAGAGCTCAGCGACTGTCAATGCCGGTTTCATACCGCTCGAGACGCTGGCCATCCTTCGACATCTCACTGTTTCGTCGTCACCCGTTCCGCTACCAACGAACTAGGGAACCTAAAAAAGATAAATGTATTAATGCCTCCGGTTCCGTCGTCGCTGGGGCAGAGCCACAGAAGCGCAGAGCCCGGTAGGTTTGTATAACGCAGCCCTTGTCCGGCTTTACCGCAGTGCTAGTGTTGCGGGGAAGAGAGCGGTTGGGGCCGCCACAGGAAAAGGAATAATATGGCTTTACGGCATAAGGGCAGTCCAACTGTCCGCGGTAGCGCGGTGATTTTCTCAGTGGGGAGGAGGAGGCGTCTTTAACGTTGGACCGCTTAAGAACTACTTATGTGTTTGCGGTAATGCAGTCGGCCTCATAGGGAGGGTAAAAGGGTTAATTTTTGTGGGAACCGCGTGAGAACGGATTTCCTGTTCGCGGTAATGCTAAGGGGGTGGAGGAAATGGGGATGGGAGGATTTGGTTTTGACCGCGTGAGAACAGATTATCCCTTCGCGGTAATGTTATGTTAATAAAGGAAGGAATCAAAGGGTAGGAGGGAGAGGTGGGAGAATCCGCCAGCAACCCCGATGCTCCAGCACGCCAGCTTGCTGTCTTAGCGGATTTCATACCGCTCGAGGCGCTGGCGTGCCTTCTGCGCCTCGGCACCAAGCCGCCGGCAGATTGTCCCACGAGGGACCCGCTGAGCCCTCCCCTTTTCCACTCGGGGGGGGAGGTAGCGTAAGTCCAAGCCAAAACCCCGTCAGCCGTCAGGAGGAGTGATAGTTGCGACCTCCTCCAGCGGTTCCGACTCACACCACGAGGAGGTGGTATTGGCACGTGGAAGGTGCTGAAAACAAACATTTCCCTTCTGAGAGTCGTTCCAAGAGGCCAGGGCCAGGCGAGTCCACCGCGCCCGGCGGGAGTTTCGGGTGGCCTATGCTCCTCCACCCGGCGGTTGACGCTTCGCCTTCTTCTCGCCGCCATCCGGAGCGGAGCTATACATACTCCTGAGACGCTGGGCTCGCCTGTACCACTCCCTTGCGTCCGCGGCGCGCAGTCTCTGCTATTCCGCAACCAAAAAAAGAAAACAAAAAACAAAACTTTTCGTCTTAATTCGGCGCTGTCAGCGTGCCATTAGATTCGCAATAGGACTCTTTCAAGGATCACAGCGCTTATTAACGTCGCAACAGATATAGGGGAAGTGGTGGGAATGGGATGAAGGAAGAGAGCAGCTAAGAGATGAGTGGTTAGAAAGGGGAATAGAGTAGAGCAAGGAAGGGAGCGAAGAAGGGAGGGGTAGGGGAGCAAAAGAGACAAGGGAAATAGAGGAAACGGGAAAAGGGAGGAAAATGGGGAGGGAGAAGGGACGAAATGCAAGATTGGTTTTCGGAATGTAGCGGTGCTAAGCAATAAAGGTAAGGAGTTTTGGAAGGGGTTAGAGAAGTGGGATATGATAGAATTAAGTGAGACCTAGGTGAAAGCAAAGAGATGGGGAAAGGTAAAGGGAAAATTACCATAGTGTTCCGAATTGCGGATACAAGGGGGAACGAGAAGTAATAAGTAGGAAAAGGCAAATGGGGGAATGATAATGGGAATGAGAAAGAGATGGAGGAAGGAGAAGATGATGATACAGACGGAGAGGAAAGGAATGGTAATAGGTAAGGTGGAGGTAAAGGAGGAAAAATGGGACATAGTGGAAATATATATAAATAAAGACATGGATGAAAAGATAGAGAGTATAGAGAACTGGGTAAAGGAAAAAGGAGATGGTAAGCGAATGTTAATTGGGAGAGATTTCTTTGCGTGAACGGGGGTAGAAGCGGGATAGTAGAGGGGAAAGAGGAGGAGAAGCGAAGGAAAAAAAAATCGAATAACTGGAGAATAAGGAGGGAAGGGAACTAATAGTGTTTATAGGAGAAACTAATAGAGTTTATAGGAGAAAGAAGATGGGGGATTATGAATGGGTGCACAAAGGGAAATGAAGAAGGAGAATTAACGTATAGGGAAGGAAGGGAAGGACGGTGATTGACTATATTATAGGAGATAAGGAGGTAAGAGATAAAATAATAAGGATGGAAGTAAGGGATAACATAGACTAAGATTACTATCCAATAATAACATTGGGGGAAGGGGGAGAGGAAAGGAGAAGAATTAAAAGAGAGGGGAAAAAGGTAAGGAAAGAAGTGTGGAATAAAGAAGGAAGGAAGAAACTTAAGGAAAAGATAGTGAGATGATAAATGTATAATGTGCAGGATGAACTAAAAAAGAAAGGGAAGAGAATAAGTGTGGTTTTGGAAGAAATGGAGAAAGAGGAAGGGTAGGAGAGGAACGGAAAAGAGGGATGGTGAGATAAGGAATATCTACAGAAAAAAAATAAAACAGAACTGAGGAAATGGAAAGGAAAAAGGGGAAACGAAGAAGATGCAGAAGAGAAAAGAGGGGATACAAAGTGTTATGTGAGAAGAATATGTAGGAAGAGAATGAGAGATGGTAGAGGAGGGTGGCAAAGGCAAGGACGAAAGGGAGAGTTTGGGAAATAGTAAATATGGAAAGGGGGAAATGGAGGGAAGAGGGTGAACAAGGATATAGAGATAAAGGAATGGCGGGACTACTTTATGAGATTACCAGAAGAAGTATAAGGTAAGGTGGTTAGAGGGAAAAAAGGAAGAAGAGGAGAGGATGAGGAGCTAGAGATGAGGAGAGAATAAGTGAAGGAAGTAACAAGGAGGAACCTAAAAGAGGGAAAAGCAATAGGAAAGAATGAAATACTGAATGAGGTGTGGAAGTGGAATGGAGAAGAAATAGAGGAATGGATATGGAAACTGTGTAAGGAAGTATGAAGGGAGAAAGGATGGCCGGACGAATGAAAGAAAGATATAATTGTACCGGTAATGAAAAGGAAAAAGGACAGGTGATAGAGGAATACAGGAAGGGGAGGGGGAGTTACGCTGATGACGACGACATATAAAATATACACGATGGTACTGGTGGTGAGATTGAAAAAAAATAGAAGAGTAGGAATTGGTGCAGCATAATCAGACAAGTTTTAAGAGAGGAGTATAATAGATAATATTGGAATATATATATTGGGTGAGTGCAAAAGTTCGTGCGGAGGTGCAATAGATGGCGTTAGAAGCGGCGTAAAGTTTTGTCATTAATACCGCCATCTCCGTAAGACATATCGTTGGAAAGGTGACGTGTGCAGCGTTCATTTCAAACAAAAGAATTTGTGTAGATACGAACTGCTCCGAGAAAGATTACTTTCCAAATGAGTGTCGAAATGTTGCATTTACGGCATGTTATGCTTTACGAGTTTCGGAAAGGAATAAACGTTGCAGCAGCCGTAAAAAACATTCAAAAGGTTTATCAAGATCAAGCACCAGCTAAACGAACTGTGGAAAAATGGTTTGCGAAATTTCGCCGCGGACAGTTTAACCTTGAGGACGATCCACACTCAGGTCGACCTTCAGACATTGATGACGATGTTGTGCGAACTTTAGTTCAGAATACTCCGCGAATTTCAACAGAGGAAGTTGCTACAGCACTTAACGTTGACCGATTAATCGCTTTTCGGCGTT